CTTGGGAACGGTGTAGCTACACAGAAGGGGGTGTCAAAACCACAGGCTGCCAGCTCAGCATAGTTACACAGAGGCAGGTGTCAAAACTATAGACTTTCAGCTCTGCTACCTCCTGCCTGCTGAGATACAGATGCCTCTTAAAGAGACCCAGTCACTAATCTAATGCCTACATTAGTATGGTATAGTGCATATGTTAGGAAAAAATGAAAAAGAATCGATTTCCACAGCCAAGGACAGGTTTTATTGTAACTAAAACCTGAGAGAAGTCAGCAGATAGCAGAGCAGTGGTTGGCTGGCATTGAACTCACTATATGGCCCTGTCTGGCCTCAGACTCATGGCAATCCTCCTGCCTCAGCCTCCTCAGTACTGGGAGTACAGGTGTGCACCACCACAAATGGCTGCTATCTTGAAATGGGGTTGCATTTTGAAGTCTGTGGTCACTGGACTGTGATGCCTACGTGTGTTTTCTCTGAGACCACTGAGACCCATTGTTTTAACAAGGACCCACAAATCTTGAGGCTCAAACTAGTTGTCATCTGGTCAAGATACCAAGTCTGTGAAGGGTGGTGCTTGGACTTTATCGTGTGAATCTAAGTAATTTGGCTTTGGCTTTTTTTTTTTTTTTTTTTTTTTTTTTTTTGTACTAGGGATTGAACTCAGGACCTTGTGCTTACAAGGCAGGTGCGAAACCACTGAGCTAAATCCCTGCCTAATTTGGCTCTTTAGTCATCCATATTTGGTATCATCTTTTTTTAATAGGTGCAGTTTTTTGTTTTTTGTTTTTTGGTACTGGGGATCAAACTCAGGACCTTGTGCTTGTGAGGTAGGCTGCAACACCACTGAACTAAACCCCTGGCTCTATAGGTGCAGTTTTTATTCACCTTTATATTGCCACAATATGGATACAAAACTACCTTAAAATAAATAATTATTTAATGAGTAAATTTTGTCTTCTACTAAGCAATCTCCCAGGGACATGATTGAATTGTAGAGACAGTGATTTTCAAGCTATTTTTCTTTCCAACCACCTCTATTCCCTTAATAATGATGGCTTATTTCCTCCATAAGTGCCACCTGGTTCCTTCAGAAGGCCTTGGAGGCCCTTATTTTAATTCAGTGCCTCATGAACCCCAGGGATTCACCATCCTGCTTCTTAGGACTGTGGTCCTTTTCTGTCAGGAACTATGAATAGTTTGAGATATGACAAGTTAGCCTGCTAAATGTTTGTTTTGTTTTGTTTTGTTTTGGGGAGTGTTTTGTTTTTGTTTTGAGACAAGGTCTCACTAGTGAGTTCAGGCTGACCTTGAACTCACTGTGTAGCCCAGGCTGGCCTTGAAGTCATGGCAATCCTCTTGTCTCACCCTCCCAAATGCTGGGATTACACACCTGGCTTGCTGCAGGCTTATGGATGCTAGTTGAAGATATCAGATTCTTGAGTCAGAGATGAATGATCTTTTATTACTCCTAACAAGAGCTGTGGTCAGACTATCAGCATTTTCATGTAGTTGGTTCTTTAAACCCCAGTTCCCCCACAGCCAGGCAGAGGACCAGATAACATTGCATATGTAATGGGTTCCTTTGTAGTACAGGAACCCTGAGTTGTTCTATTGGACAGCATGTCTTTTGCTGCAGAGGGAGATACTCTCTTTATTGTAGCAGACATTAAGCATGTATTTATTCACTTTGTTCTAGATGATCCTATGTCTCTTTTTCTTCTCCCCCACCCCAATACCAGAGATCAAATTCAGGACCTTGCACTTGTAAGGCAGGCTCACTACCACTGAGCTAAATCCCTGGCCCTCCCTATGTCTCTTTTCAAAAGTTCATTCTACAAACATCTTCAGAAAGAACAAAGAGTAATTAATACCTTCCTCCCCTGACATGCATTAGCAGGAGAGATCCATGGAGAAGACCCATTCCACAGTGTTCTTTGCTGCTTTTCTGTACTTGGGCTTACTTTTGTTGGGCAGATGAGTATATCAGCCACTGAAGCTAGGGATATATACCTGGCAGTTCCTATGTTCTTGTGTAGGGAAACAGTCTAATAGGGGACACAGTCATACCTGGAATACTTTTAACACAGTGATCCTGAGCACTAAAAAATGTGAAGCACACTAGCCTTGCTACTATCAAGAACACTGTCTCTTCCCTCCTTCACTCCAATACTGTACAGGGAATTGAACCCTTCTGCACTGAGCTACATCCTCAGCCCTCTTTCAAATTTTTTTATTTCAAGACAGGATCTTGCTAATTGCCAAGGTTGAGCTGGAATTTGGAATCTTCCTGCCCCAGCCTCCCAGGGTGCTGGGAATACTACATAATGTGCACCACCACACCTGGCTAATGTCTCTGGCTTTGATAACATTGACTGTCCTTTTTTAATCTCTTATCTCCCTTGTTACCACGACCTATCTTTTAGATTTTTCTTTTATTTCTATCTGCCTTTTGCCTTTTTCCTCAGCCTACCTCTTAAAATAGTGGAACTAGGGGTGGAAGCCCAAACTTGTAATCCAGCTCTGCGAGGCTGAGACAGAAGGATCTCAAATTCAAGCCCAGCCTGGGCAAATTAGCAAGACCCTGTCTGAAAAAATTAATAAAAAAGGGCTGGGAATGTATGTCATTCAGTGCAAAGGGCTTGGGTTCAATCCCAGTACCCCCCTTACCCACACATGGAAGATGTTAGTGGAGCTCGGGGCTTCATCTTTAAGTCACTGCTGTTTGGGTGGTGTCTTTGGGGACACATCCCACCACTGGTTTAATAATGACCAGTGATGGAAGTCAGAGGTCCCTGTCCAGCCCGGGAGTGTGCACGTGGATTCCTTCCTTGGATAGTAGGTTTTGAGAGTTCACAAAGCCCTTCATAGTCCCTACTCTTGGGAGCCTTAAATCTCATGTACATGGCAGGCATTCATCAAATAATTATACAAAAGGTGTCTGATCTACTAAAGAAGGTCGAGAGGGAAGGTTCAGGGTGACAGCGACACTTGGAGAGATGTCTGAACTTTTTGGTTGTTTCTCGAGAGGCTTCCCTTGCTGTGCCCAGCCGTCCAAGTGGAGGGTGTGCTAGGGAGGGAGCGTTCCTAGCACTCCTGACATGGTTGTTGACAGTCAGCATGACTTGTGAGAATTTGAGAACCGGCTGTGGAAGTGGAGAGGGATTAGAAGTGACTGGCTCGTGGCCGGCGTGGTGGCACACACCTATAATCCCAGCCCTTGGAAGGATGAGGCAGGAGGATAGCTGTGAGTTCAAGACCAGCCTGGGCTACATAGTGAGTTCCAGGTCAGTCTCAACTACATAGTGAGACCCTGTCTCAAAACAAACAAACAAACATGATTGGCTGTTTTGCAGTTGTATGTTAATTAACCTGACAGTTTGAAATGTTTTGGAAAAGACAGTAGCATTCAGGGTGCTTTATCCCACCCAGTAAGGGAATAGTATTCTTTAGCATGTATGCAACAATATGTATTTGTGTAAGATGATGTCTTAAGTAGTGAGTACTAAGAATATATTTGTACATTTCATAGAGTAAGAAAAGGTTAGGTGAGCAAAATCAAGGCTGTGCTTTTAGGGATTTTGAGGGTGGGGGTTGAGACAGGGTATCACTGTGTAGCTGAGACTGACCTGGAACTCACTATGTAGCCCACGCTGGTCTTGAACTCATAGCGATCCTCCTGCCTCAGCCTCCCAAGTGCTGGGATTACAGGCACGTGCCACCTTTATAGTTGGTTGCTAAAGAAGTTTCTCTGATTGAGTAGAATACCAGAGAACATGAGAAGGTGGCATAGTGTTCCTTTCTGATTGCCAAACCAGCTCTTGTTGTTATTTTGCTGAAACTGCGTCCTGCTATTGATGATCATTTTTATTTTCTCTTTGAAGGAAGTAATAGGGAAGGAATGCAGTCTGGGTAGATTCTGTTTTACAGTGTTCCAAAAGAAAGCGTCTGCGTATTCAGGGGATGTATTTTTAATATGTCTAACATTAGAAGCCTATTATTAGTTTTGAGTTTGACAAGATGTGTTGAGGGTTGCTTATTTTTTTTCCTTTTTTATCATATAAGTGCAAAAACAAGTCCAGGCTTAGTAAGAGTTAAAATTTTTGATGTTAGAGCAAAGGTCTCCTAGTTCTCCTAAGGTCTGTGTATTAAGTACATAATAACACAAGTCTGTCAGGCACGAGTGGTCAATTTCCAGATCTAGATCTTGTTCCTATCCATGACATTAAATCTAAAGCTGTGGTATTAAATCCCCAGCCCTTGTTTTGTTTTGTTTTTAATTGGAGATTGAACACAATGCCTTTACATGGAGCAATATTTCAGCCTCTTTTTAAATTTTTTTTAAAATTTTGAGACAGGCTCTACTAAATTGTGGGCTCAAACTTGTGGCCCTCCTGCCTTAGTCTCCCAGAATGCTTGGATTACAGGCATTTGCAGTTACAACTAACTGGGATTTCCTTTTAAATGATCTTTGCTCTTTTGTATATATATTTTTTTATTTTTATTGAGTTTATTGGTACAATCTAGGTATACAATACAATTACATTTATTATTGGGATCCTGTACCTTTACATGATAAGTCTTTTTATGTTTTTATGCAACTAATGAAGTCCTTTATTTCCCCTCCCTATTTTTTCCTTTTTCTTTCTCTTTTGCTGTGCTGGAGTTTGAATCCAGGGCTTTGAATAGCTAGGCAAGTACTCTACCACTGACAGCTACACCACCCCAGCCATTTTCATTTTTTGAATTTTGAGATAGGGTCTGACTAAATTACCCCAGCTGGTTTTGAATTTAAAACCCTTCTCACTGCCCAGCCTCCCAGGTAGCTGGGATTACAAGCATTTGCCACCATGCCTAATGTAATCCTCCCCCCCACAAAATAAGCTCACAGCAGTAACTCATGAAAATATAGGGTACATTTTTAAAATTGCCTTCTAATATAAAGTTCCTACTTTCATTTCAGGAAGGTTCCTAATACTTACCTTGATTTTGTATTTGCTTTGCAGGAATTTATGTTGATGCAGTTAATTCCCTTGGGCAAACAGCACTTTTTGTGGCTGCATTATTGGGCCTTACAAAATTAGTTGATGTTCTGGTGGATTATGGCTCAGATCCAAATCAGTAAGTACAGTAGCATGAATACATAGATATTAATGAGGTGTTGTCCATGGTTCCCTTCTCACCCGCCTGCTTCCCCAATAGAATTAGTGGCATCCCAGACCTGTTCTCATCCTCCCTCTCCCCTGATGCTGGGGAACAAACCTAAGGCCCTAGCATTCAGCTACATCCCCATGTCTTTTTAAAATTTTGATCCAGAGTCTCACCAAGTTACTTAATTGCCCAGACTGGGCTCTTAGCTGAATTTGCTATCCTCTTGCTTTAGCCTCCTACAGTACTAGAATTACAGGTGTGTGCTTCCATGCTGGGCTAGGAATGTGCTCTTAAAACTACTAGGAACATTTCAAAACTACTTGTCACACACCTGTAATCCCTAGTACTTGGGAGGCTGAGGCAGGATGTTTGGAAGTTCAAGGCCAAAGAGTACTTTTTTTTTTTTTTAAACAGGGTCTCTCTGAATTCAGGCTGGCCTTAAACTTACTATGTAGCCCAGGCTGGCCTTAAACTCAAAGCAGTCCTGCCTCAGCCTCCCTCCCAGAGTGCTGGAACTATAGATGTGTGCCACCACACCCAGCTCTGCACAATTAAGAGAATCTTTGCTAAATTATGTCAGTAAAATATAATTGTGTGTATTTTAACATATGCTCATATTGAAAAATAATTTTGACTGCTAATAAAATTTCTCAAAATAATTATACCAGGTCCTAGGAAATGACTAAGTGAAAATAATTAGTCATTCATTAATTACTGAGTCATTAACAGCACTGTTTGTATACTTCCACTTCTGGGTTATAATTTGTATCATGTACCCCATTTGCTTTAGCGATTTAACATTCCTACAACCACTTTCTTCACTGGATAATACAGGTTGTATTACTGTGTTAGAAAGAATGCCTTTTGCCTGACTTTCATAATTGAGACTTTAAAAGAATCTGAGTCCAGTAGTCAGCCCTGATTTAATATTCAAAAACAGCACAATGTAGTGAATCAACCAGTGTGAATCTTTTCTGTTTATGAAACATTTTGGTTGTTTCCAGGTCCTCCCCAGGTACTCTGCATTTGATTTGGTGGTGTGTGTGTGTGTGTGTGTGTGTGTGTGTGTGTGTGTGTGTGTGTTGTGTATGTATGTATGTGTGCACAGGTGGTACTGGAACTGAACCCAGGGCCTTGACACTGAGCTGTGTTTCCACCCTGTTTATTTTTCATTGTGAAATATTTCATTTTAAAATAGGGGATTGCCTGAAATAGGAGTTTCCTAGAGTAGACTCGAACTTGCAGTCTTCCTACCTCATCCTTCACCTCCTTGACAACTGAGTTGTCCCAGCCCTTTTTATTTTGAGACAAGGTCTTGTTCAGTTGTCTAGACTGGCTTCAAACAAAAAATCCTAATAAGAGACTGAGGAGGTAGTGTACCTGCCTAACATGTCCGAGGCTCAATTCAAACTACTACTGCAAAATAAAACAAAAATTTGCAATAGTATTGTTTTTGAGCAAGAAAACTGGGTATCTGAAGTTGGGAGAATTTTAAAACATCTTTTCTTGTATTTTTTTTCTCACTTGTTTGTCCTTTCTCTTACTTCTTCCTGTTTTCTTTTGCTTTTCCCTTTCTCCTCCATTTTGTGGTTTTTGTTTTGTTTTTTCAGACAAGGCCTTGGTGCTGTGGAGCTCAGGTGGTCTCACATTCTGTAAGGCAGGCTGACCTGAAAATTGCCATTGGCCTGCCTTACCCTAGGATTAGAGGTGTGCACTGCTGTGTCCTGATCGATTGATCTTTCTCTCCCTCTCTCTGTCTCTTTTTCTCTCTTTCTTTCTTTCTGGTTGTTGTTGTCATTGTCTTTTTGAGACACAGTCTTGCTGTGTAGTCCAGATGGGCTTTAAACTCACTGTGTAGCCCAACTCACAGCAATCTTCCTGCCTCCACTTCCTGAGTGCTGGGATTACAGGTATGTGGCACAATGTCCAGCTTTTTTTTTTTTTGGTACTCGGGACCTTGCACTTTTGAGTCAGGAGGCGAACGGCTGAGCTAAAGCCCCAGCCCTATTGCCTTTTCAATTAAAGGAAAACGTCTCTAGGAAATTCTCATGTGTGGCGAGGTTCGGAAACTATAACTACATACCATACCTTCTCCCATTACCTACACATATTAAAAGCTGTCCCTTCATGGCCCCCATAGTTTACTGGCATATTAGTCACTTTTTTATTTTATTTATTATTTATTTTTAGTCACTTTTTTATTGCTGGGACAAAATATCCAACACATGTAACTTACAGGAAGAAAGGATTGTTTGGCTCACAGTTTCCACTGGGTTCAGTCTGTCGTTGGTTGGTTCTAAGGCAAGAGGCATGGTAAAAGGGCCTGGTGGAGAAAAGCTGCTTAACCCACAGCAGCCAGGATGCAGAGAGAGAAAGGAGGAGCCAGGGAGGGACTCAGACCCTCCACAGGAAGGTACACTGCCCTGCAGTGACACCTCTTGCAACCAGGCCCTACCTCTTGACAGCACATTCAACTGTGAACTCATTAATGGACCAACCCATAGGTGAGTGTAACACATGAGACTTTAGGAGACATTCTAGATCTACACCATAAAAGTATAACTGGTGAACTTTTCCCGGAAAGGTGATGTTGAGG